TATATATATATATATATATATATATATATATATATATATATATATATATATATATATATATATATATATATATATATATATATATATATATATAAGAGATCGAGATCGTGAAGCCCGTCGGAGTGGTACTCACAGGAGGCGAGGGCGACAACTTTTGGTTGTGGAATGAGCACGTTGACCTCGTCCGCAGCAAGGTTGCCTACGCGGGGCTAGGTGAAGGTCAGATGGCTGAGAAAGTGCGCATTTTAAAGCAATCTCTCAGCCACGATTTTTTCATGACCCTCCAGTCGCGGATGCTGCCTGCCATGAGGGCAGATCCGGACTGGTTGGTAGCGTATGCTAAATTGTACGCTGGGGGCTGGCCACGATTCAGCAAAGACGATAAGGTGGCAGTCACTGCCTCTTTCGCTCGCTCCTTGAGGCAGGACCCCGAACGCATGTTCGAGGTCCTCCAAGGGCTCGTGGTGTTTATGTGTGGGCGCTCGCTGCTCACCGTCCTGGTTTCTGAAGTGGAGGCACAGTGTTAGAGTGCAAGATGGTAGTCTTTGAATAAAGTGTAATTGTATATCTTTATTTACAACCTCACCTTTGGTTTTATACTCAAGGTGTTTGTGCTAGTGTTCAACCGCTTGGGTTGGCCAGGGTGAAAACTCATATGGTCAGTATGAGAAACCTTTTGCAGAACACTTCAACACTTAGATATTGTTCTATATCATAATCTCTGCTACTCGCTCTTACGCCGATCAATTAATGTTGCTTGGCTTTCAGAGCAATGCTATCCTAGGTATCGGCTTTTGGAGCAATGCTCTCATAGGAGCAAATGTATTATTAACATGATGTGGTTAATAATTTGATCCGCTTTTCGGAGTGACGCAACTCTTGTGATTTCATTCAAGAAAACGAGTTTTCTTGCTACTGAAACTTGCTTGAGATCTGTAGTCTCTCACACAGGATGAGCACCCAGATGAGACAGTGACTTCTGCTGTGGAGTATATGGCCGATATGCAGAAGCGCTTGGCAGCGTATCAGGCTGGAAAGCTCGTGGTTGATCTCAGTGGGCCAGCAGAGCCTTAGCCACCAATGGGACGTGCAGGGGGTTTAGCACAGGCGGCAAGTGAGA